CCCCAAAACCCCAAAACCCCAAAACCCCATCTAGAACTTCATTAACTTATAATATTTATAGAATATGGAAGAAGTAAGTTTTGAATTACTAAACAGCCTTATCTTAACACAATACAACTTCTTAGTGTGCAATATCTACATGAATCTCTTGCTTTAGCACTTTTAGAGGCTTACCATTGATAAACAATAAATCTTCGAAGTTCTCTCTTTGACTGGTATAAGCCAGATCAGTAATACTCCTTAATACTTTCATGTGCATTAAAATTTTAATGTTTGAAAAACTTTCCAGAATTTTGAGCATAAATTTCTGATATCCTTTCTAGAAATCATCATTTTTGCTTGACCCTGAGGAAGAAAATAAGTCAGATTCCCAAGTTAGCTCACTTTCGGACAATCATGCTAAAATTGAGGTTGAAAAATGAGGGAGTGCTAGTTGTAGGAATACCTCTGAGGATGAGATTTCTAACCCAACAACTCCTAGGCGTAAAGGGTCTATAGCAGATCTGAAGTTCCACAACTTTGGTTTAGATATTGATAATTCAAATTACCTCAAACCAGGGTAAGATTTGAAAATATTTTAGACGGAGTAATTATCTCCAGAAGAAGAGAAAGTCAGTGAATTATGGAAGAGGCAAAGGTCTCATAATCCCCGAACATCTCCCTCTCATAGAGTCAGGACACTCTTTGAAACCTGACTTGAAGTCAGGATGGAAACCAACATTTGAAAATATGCGAAGAGAAGCATCAATTCCATTGAAATTTAATTATGAAGAAGTTGTTCTTCCTAGACCAAAAGGTGGATCAGATTACCCAATCGGTAAGCTAAGCTTTGACTCCATAGTAATCTACAGAGGGGCTCGTCCAGCAAATTCACTCGAGTTAAACGAATATATGGCTATTAGGACGGGTACTAAATCTCAGGATATTGTCGAAGCAAGCTTAAGAGAGTATTATAAAGAATTCGTCAGGTATTTTTAGATAACATTTCAGCTGGCTTGATGCCTCGTCAAGGAAAGAGCAACCTGAGTTTATCGGAATGACACCTTTCCATGATGAAGTTTAGAATTCTTTGATAACTTATAGAGAGAAATGCTACATTTTGACAGCAGCTTTGAAAGTGGCAATGCAGATATCGTCGTGCTTAAAAGTAAATTCGAATACGATATCTATCCAAGATCTGATGCTAACACTAAAGGTCATTGATACTGGTACTACTTCTCTGTCAAGACTCCATGGCATCCTGATAAGGTTAAGAAATATAAAGATTATTCCTCTTATAAAGAAGATGAAGAACTGAAGAAAACTATGAAAGTAAAATTCAACATTCACAGAGCTCTTGATACAAATGGAATGAAAATCTGCTACAAAAGTAAGCACCTTGTTAATGTTTCTAGTCAATGACGCAAAGTGGCAAAGAGGCGGTGAGAACTTCAGCACCTCACAGAAGACAATCTCACTCTCTCACAAGGGAAAAATTATTGAAAAATAAGATATCAGTGCTAACCTTCGATTTTGCCTTCACTAATTCTATGAAGACAGTTTCATTCGCTCCTTGTTTTCCCTACACTTACACTCAATTATCAGATTTCTTGAAGGAATGAGATTACTACTGATATACGAATAACAGGACATATTTTGAGAGGAGTTCTTTATGCAGGTCCATAGGTGGAAACTGCGTCCATCTCATCAAGATCCATGACCCAAAGGATACTCCTTATAAAAACGAAAACTCAAGTATGTCATTTTCGTTAGCTATAGACTCAAATGTGAAGGATGACAACAACATATTCAGAGAGAAACTGGAAAAAGGTATTTTATCAACTTATTTTGTTAGAGAAGAAGATTGTTATCATTACAGCAAGAATTCATCCAGGGGAGTCCATGAGCTCATGGGTGATGGAGGGATTGATCAAGTTCCTAGTCTTTGCAAATTCGAGACCTAGGCATCAAGATTCATGAAGCAGTAATGGATCTGTCAAACAATCTAAAATTTACACCTCGAGTGAGATAAAGATAGCAAGATATTTGAGGAAATAAATTTAAGTTTATCATAATTCCCATGGTGAATCCTGATGGAGTGATTGCAGGAAATTACTTGACTTCTTTCGCCGGGCATGATCTGAATAAAGTATTCCTGGTCCCTAATAAGGATCTCCATCCATCAATCTATGCTCTAAAAGATCTGATAGCTTCGAACAAAGAGAATATTTTTACTTATATTGATATTCAAGGTCATTCAAAGAAGAAATGAACCTTTTTATATGGGCCTGAATTCCCACTGCATAACCAGAATTATTTCAAAGTGCGCGCTTTGCCAAAAATTTTGGATTCTACAGAGGAACATTTCAGGTTTCATTCTTGATCATTCCATGTGAACAAGCATAACAAGACAACATCAAGAGTGATTCTATGGAGCAAGTTTGATATTATCCTTTGCTATGTCTTTGGCGTATCTTTCTCTGGCTACATGAGCAAAGATCATAAAATATACCCATTCACAAGGGATAAATACCTTCAAACTGGTGAAAGTCTATGCAAAGGATTATTCATCCTGGTAAAGTCACTAATCCAACAAGAAGTCATCCAGCATCATTTTAAATATAAATTTACAGGAACTAAGAAGCTAAGATATAATGTATGCTATCTTTTATGATTTATAGATATCATCTTTCACGAATAGGAAGAAAAGTACTAAACAGTCCAAATCCTCAAGACCATCAGCAAAAGCATCTGTAAAGACTGCGGGGAAACCATTGGTGAAATCTCCTGGCCGACTATCTGTAAAGCAAAAAGGGAAGCAAAAGTAAGCTGTTTCTTAAGCCTTTAGTAAATTTCTGAGAAAGACTATTTTCCAGAACGTTCAAAAAGCTCCTGGAACTATAAAGAATAAGAGCAAAGAAGGAAAATGAGAAAAGAAGAACCCTTCAAACCAGAAGAGTTCGAATAATCGCATATCAACTAACTACCAACAGTCTGTTGTCGAAGACTCTATTGCTTCCAATGGCTTGGTAATTTCTTAGAAGTAATCATCCTTATAGCAGAGGAACTTCTCAGTCAACCTCGTAAAGGAGAAACAGCGTAAATCCCATATGTATATCTTATAGTCCCTATTGATGAAGAAAGCAAAAGAGTAGAGAGGAGGACCTCAGGGTTAGACAAGATCAACCTCAAAAAGTTAACAACTTCTTCACTTCAAGCTAGTGGGAATAAGGAAAGTGGCGAAAACTCCAGTACCTGGAACGTCATGATGAAGGAATTCAAGAAGACTATCTCTGAAGGACAAAGTTCACTCTCCTGACTTGACAACAAGAAATTTGACACTGTAAGTATTCCTTACTTAACCATAGTCTGGCACTGATATGCAGAATTTAAATTTATCAGAATCTGCTAGTTTTACATCTGGAATAAGCACTGATGAGGAAGAGGAATGACTGAATAATATCCTAAATGCTTTAAACCAGGTACTGCAACAAATCTGATATTTCTAGGCTAATCCATCAATAAACAGGCCAAAAAGATTTGACCTAAGAGGTTGGAGAAAGATGTGCCTTGAGGAAGAAAAGAAACTGAAACTAGAAAGACTCTCTACTCTCATCCCAGAGCCAGAAATAAATTTATCTCCTGCTCCAAAGAAGATAGCTAAGAAGCCAAAGATGAGCTCTAAGAATATTCATAAGTACCAGAAGATCGAACTTTTCAAAGATTTGAAATAATAAAAAGTTCAAAAATTTTAGAAGAGAGAAAAAGGAAGCAATGGCTAGTCCACAGCAAAATCTGGAATTTAAGGATATCGTTACAAAGCAATCATCTGTATATAGCCTCAGTGGGTTTGATAAGAAATCTGTCACTCCTGCAACTGTTGCAGAGTATTCTGAGTATTCCACAAAGAGTGAAAAAGGCTCCGCTGAGTCCAGTTTTGAGTTCAAGATAATTGGCAAGAATCCCTCAGGAGCTCAGATTATGACTGCAAGATCTCCTTATCTTAAAAGAATTTATTGAAAGAATGAAGAACCATTGCTGCCAACTCTTAGGCCAGTTACTCCTGGTATTGTGAACCCTCTCAGGACCAGAAAAGCAATGGTTAAAGGTAAATTCATTGATCTTGTAAAGCCAACAAAGAAAATGATTGAAATGTATGGTTTAACCAGTAAGCTTGACTTCTAAACCTCTAGGTCTAATCCATAACCCAAAAATAAAGACTTTCTATCCTGATGTGACTAAATTTAGATGTTTCTCCCCTCCAGTGGGACATAGAAGGCATAAAGTGTTGAGTGCTAAATATGTATCAGCGAAATATGCAAATGTTAAGGGCAAAGTTATTAGTCATTAATGGTCAACTCGGTGAGAATATCTCGGGGTTTGGGGGTTTGGGGGTTTTGGGGTTTTGGGG